CTCCCCAGTCCAGAGAGCTATTCACTCAGCTGTTCCTCTTCACAGCTCTCCTTCCCACCACTCACCCACTCACTCAACAGCACCCTCTTCTTTGTACCTTGGTGGGGCAACTCCAGCAGGGTGATAGCCTTGTGGAGGTAGGCCTTGCCTAACCAGCATTGTGCTGATCTGCTGATAAGTCAAGGTGCCACCTCTCCAGCTGGCACAGGTTTTGCCCAGCAGCTGCTGCCCTCATAGCCATGGCCATGGTGGTACCCAGGCTGTCATTCACCCTCCTGCTGCTCACTGCTCCTCCTATTAAAAGTTGTTTCTCTCTCACTGGTGCAGCTAAATGACACAAAAGCATTTCCATCCCCACCTGGCATCAGATCACACACCCACATTGCAAGACTCCAATCTCATTAGACGATTAGAATTGGACCATCATCCCAAACAGTATCAAGGATGAGGCATTGGTATATAGAGCCTTAGGGGCATCCAGCTGCCCCCCCATGAATTCTCCCTTTCACCTGCAGCAAGCTCTGCACCTCGTCCTGCAGCCCTGCTCTCTCCAATGCGTTCCCTTTCGTTGGAGAAGCTAGGGTGTCTATCAGACTACACCATTCACACCTATGAGAAACCTACCAGGACAATTTGAACTCAGAGTACAACAGACAGCCCCATTTTTGCAGGAGCAAGGTCGGTTGACTGCGGTATGATTTTGCTGTGTCAAAATCCTGGAACTCCCTCCTGAAAGGCATTGTGAGTGTATCTATATCAAATAAATCAATGGTTCAAGAAGGCAGCTCACCACCACCTTGTCAAGGGCAATTAGAGATGTACAATAAATGCTGGCCCAGCTAGGGAATTCCACATTGTCTCTGTTTTATGTCCCTGCTGAAAGCCAGCACCTCAGACAGAGTTGAACTCCCTCAGTACTACATTGAGAAAAGGCCTGGATTATGTGATCAGTTCGCTATAGTATTAGTTGAGCCCACATCATAATGACTCAGAGAGAGGAGAGATAGCACCGATAGCACTGATAGCTGTGAGCTTCAGCTGAGTATACTGTGCCCAGTATGGACGCATGAATATCTCACTTACCCCATGGTGATCTGAGTGAATACGCCTGCTGCTTGTTTACTTTTCCTTCTGCTTTCTGAGGAGCAGGATGATCATAATGAAGGGTGCTTAATCTCCAAAGATATATATGCAAACATATACACACCAGCCACACCCTTCACATTATTCAGAATCAGGTGATCTTTACTGAAGTGAACAAATGAAAGGAAACTAAAACTGTAAGGTGATTCAGTAGTTGTAGAAACACAATGTCACTAAGACACAAGGTTCTTCCCCTGGTTACTGTTTATTACGAATGAGGATTGACAGAGCACAGGGTTTGGCTTCATGGCACTGGGGTTCTTTCGGGAGTCAGTGATACTGTAATTGGTATGTGCTACTTCTCCGATCAATTCCAGCACGGCCCGTGTGACAGCCCATCCTGCAACAAGACCATCTCGGGCAGTCCCAGAAGCCTCTGCTCTCCATCCTGGCATGGCAGAGCACAGCCCTGCCAGCATATTGGCTGCTTTCTTTGTGAACGGGAACCAGGCAGGATCATTCCACGTGTTCATTTGTCCCTCACCAAAGATCATTTTGTCCAGGGCCCCACTCTAGTGATGTTGAAATGGCCAGAATTTAGATGATTGAGAATAACTTGTGGTTATTACCATGTCCCTGTAAACAGTGGTGTCTTTCTGGAGCTGTAGTGGTGGTTTTCTGTCATTAGCAGGGAGGCTTGCTGAATCCTTACAAAGAGGCCAGATCATTGGGTGAACTGCTCAAATACAGGCTGCAGCAGGTATTGGGCAGCAGTGGCAGGGCTCTCTGGGTTTGTGACACACTGCTCAGTTCAGTGGAGGGGTATAAACCCCACAGAAACTCCTCTGTCAATTTTGAGCTTGACTCGTCCAGGGTCCTTGACAGTGACATGAGACAGGAAAACGTATTCAGCATCTCCATGAGTATTTTAATCAGTGGTCACTCATTCAATCACCACATTAATGTCAAGCCCCTGTTTGTGACCCTCACTACCACACGAATGATCCACCGCATGTGGCTACAGCTCAGTCATGCCTGTGCCTTCAGCACTTGCTGATCCTGTCATTAGACACTGTCTACAACGAACGCTAAGTGCCATGACCTGAGCTGGGGACTGTGACTGTCATATGAGGCTCATTACCGCTGTGCTGTTTGCTCTGCTCTCAGGGCTGGTGCAGCTGTACAAAAGAGGTTTCCGTCATCAGAGAATCGGAAGGGCAAGCTCAGGGTGAGGTATGGGAGCATTTGGGACTGTTAATGGGTTCAGTGGTGGGAATGTGGTGCATCTAACAAAATGACAGATCGATATTATAGTGGACAGCATGGATGGATTCTCCATTGCACCAAAATTATTGGAAGCTGGATCATGAGTTTGGAATGTTCCATGAGGTACATTTGTGAAAAAAGCAGAGATGATCTGGATTTGACCGGAGCCATCTCTTATCTTCCATACCCAAGAAGCCTTTCCCCACCATTCCTTCCTGATTTTCCAGCTTTAGCTGCTGTGAGGTCGCTTGACAATAATCCACTGTTCTGGACTGTGTAATATAACCTCCATCAGCAGGTGGCGATGGTGGCGGAGGGCAATGAGGAGGGCAGTTCAAGCAGTTCGGGCTGGGCTTCCAGAAGTAGATGGTAATGGTGAGGCAGAGCATTTAGAATAGTTAAACAGATCCTCTCTGGAAAATAAAGTGCCTTTGGGACAGAAGGAGCAGAAATTACAAAGAATTCCTCAACAGAATGTGAACCACAGACTTCTTTCCATGTAAACACTTTCTTGTGTAACCTTCATTTCCCTTCACATTTGAATGATCTGTTGTCAGTGGAATAAAGAATCCCTAATTTGTGATCTTTGGGCCATGTCAAAATCTCACGTTACGTTTCTGTTGTAGTTTACAGGAATTTGTAGCACAAGCATCAAGTAATGGCAGTGGAGAAAATGGTCAAGGAGTTGAAATTAGCAATATCCATAGGGAGACCGAGGAGGTGGCGCAGGGAATCGACCTTTAAAATAATCCAAGGCATAGAATAATCCAATCCATGTACATTCCTTTGATTCTGCAACGGAGGAAATCCAACTTCCTGATTGGATATTCTACTTGTCAATGAGTAAGAAGTTTTGGGGGAAAGCCAGAAACACCTGATGATCTAGTGATTGAGGAGGCACAGCCAGTTATGGCATCTAGAGACCTATGTGTAAGGAAGCAGGCAGCAGTTGTAATGGAACATGTGTGGGGCAAGTCCATTAGGAAATATTGGGAAGAAATGTAGATGTTTTAAGAAGATGGCAGTAGGTCTTAGAGGTACTGGTAAGTGTTCTGGAGGCAGTGAAGTAATTCGATTGCATCATCATCCTGGAGCCCTCCTTCAAACTGACCTGGGACAGACCACTGAAGGATCATGTAGTGGACACATTGAGGATTGAAAACATCTAGATGGACTTGAAGAGACTTGAATGTGAACAACATCAATTGTCTTTCTTTGAAGCACAGGATCAACTCATCCAGATAATCGTGAAAAATTGGACTCCCAATATCAGGAAAGAAGCCACCTGATGACTGTTAGCATAGATGGGAAGCTCCATTCCTTGTAAATACTTTCTTGTTTCACTTTTAATTACCCTTCATGATTGTAATGACTTGATGCCAATGGAAAAAGATCACTGTTTCATGATATTTAGATCATCCATGTGTTAAGACAGAAATCTACATCTTCACCACTTCCAAATATTTTTTCTCAACTTTTTTTTCTTCTTAGAAGAAAATTCCTCCTGGAGCCTTTACCCCTGGTATCATGCCTTCTTTAGTTTATCCAACTTGGTCACCCTATCTTCTCAAATCCTGAGTCCATCCCCTCAGCTATGCTAAACCTTCTCCTTTTTCTATTACCACCCCATTGCTTGTCCCCTGCTTACTTGACTGACAGCTTCCTGCTCTGCCTCGCTTGACGCCTTTCAATCAGCCCATTGTCATGACGTCTCTATGAATGGCAACCCAATGAGTAGCAACCTGTACAGTCTCATCCTGCCCTTTTGCTGACCTCCCCATCCAGCTCATTCTCTGGGGGCATCCCTTTTTTTATAAATTCATTCATGGGATGTGGGCCTTGCTGGTCAGGCCAGCATTTATTGCCAAATCATAATTACCCAGAGGGCAATTAAGAGTCAACCACATTGCTGTGGGCAACGTAGGCCAGACCAGGTAAGGATGGCAAGTTCCTTCCCTAAAGGACATTAGTGAACCAGATACGTTTCCCAGCAATGGATTCATGATCATCATTGTACTTTTAATTCCAGATATTTTTATTAACAATCTGCCATGGCAGGATTCAAACCCATAGTGCTGAATGGATTAACTGTCCGGTTATAATACCACTAGGCCATTGCCTCCCCTGGCCTCTCTTCCAACCTCCTTTCTGATCCACTGACCTCCACTCAGTGTTGAGCCTGTGAACTCTGCCAATGGAGATCAGTTCTCGCACTCTGTCCACATCACCCTCCAGATGCCTGTTCACTTGTGAACCAGGCCCTTGCCATCTGGAAACTTATGGTGGATGATTTCATGGGAATCAAAGCCCCCAAGTATAGCTCATTAGGAAAGGAATGTGTACCCCATCATTATTGGTTAAATGTGGTGATTTTGTTTTTAAACTTCACCAAATTCGTTGATCTAGAACATTACTCAGTGTAGTTTCATTTCCAGATAATTGACTCCTCAGTGTTAATCGAAACTGAACACACTAAATGAAAGCAACCACCATTGTTTCATTTTCTGCATTCAAATCACAAGAGCATTTTCATTTGTGGTATTGTGGGGATATGAATCATTGCAGTTCCTGAGCAAAAGGGATGAGAAATGAAGCATATATGGTACAAGTTAAGACACAGCGCAGCGAATTGGATGACCTAAAGCCTTAGGTCTCATTTCACAATGCTTCAATTTTAACGTCCCCAGATGGTGAGAAAACAAAGAGCAGAACAACAGTGCTCAGTTTTGTTAACCCTGTCTGGTTGTATTTTAGAACTGAGAACACTACAAGCACCGATCTTCATTAACTCGTTGTTAGAGGTAAGGTTGAAGAAAAATGTCTGCCTCATTTGCTTTCCGACAGTTTCAGACTGTAAGATGTTGGACCAAAAGCAGGCCATTCAGCCCATTGAATCTGCTCCGTCATCCAAAAAGATCATGGCTGTTCAGATAATCCTCAACTCCACTTTCTTGTCTTTTTAAGGTTAAAGGTAGATTATACTCCATATAACTAGCCTACATCTCTCAAAAGTGAGGTGTTTTCTGACTGCAGAAGATATTGTAACTGATGACAGAAATCTCTTTGAGAGGATAGAGAAGAGGAAGTGGCACTTTTGGGCAGATTGCGTTTTTAACCAATACAGGAATGTTGCTTCAGACTGTGTGGAGGATAAAAGAGGTCCTATATCCACTGGGGGCCAGGAGGCTCCCCAGGCAGACAGACAGACAGATAAACTCATTGGTTGCAAATAGCCAATGCAGTCAATGGTAGAAAGGTGAATCTGGGGAATTGTATGTAGAGCTATGAAAGGTTCAGTGGAAGTCCCTGTCTGACAGGGGCACAGAAGTCCTGGTTGAGAGGGTGGTGTAAGGGAGACGAGTCCCCTTCTTAGACACTCAGCAGAGGAGGCCATGACACCAGCTCCTGCCAAACTGGTTGGAAGTCACTACCTGGATCAGTGCCATCTTGAAGGCTGGAAGAACAGCCAGCAATGCTATAAGCAGGTCAATGACATTCTCAGCACTGCCAGGGTTAAGTACCACACTCTTCCTTCTAGCATCTTACACTCATTCTATCTTTGCTACTGCGCCCACCTCACACAAAGGCTCATTCCCACCATTCTCACTATTGCCTGTAGCATCTTCCCTCAATCACTATCCCCTTCCACATCCTACGACACTAACCCTTCATGCCCTCTGGACTGTATCATCTGTGCTTTGTTACAACTCACCACCTTTGCCCATGTGTTAATTCCCCAGAATTAACAGATTTACCATCCACCATCATCTCACTCATTGTCCCCTAGTTTCTCATGCCGGAGGAGACAGCCCGTAACAGGGCAGAGAGAGCCTGTATGAGTGGGTGAGTGCTAACAGCCTACAAGGGGAGAACCCTGGCCCTCACAGTAAAAGAAAGGGACTGCTCCTGTGAAGAACGTATATGTCCCGACAGCCAAGTAAGTGCCTCCCTGTATACCACTGCCTCTCTCCCTTTAACTACGCTGTTACCCTCAATCAGTCCACACCACTTCTAACCACTGGTCACGGCATGCTGTCTCTCACTTCTGGCTTGCTGGTTCTGCAAGCTTCCTGACAAGGTCTCTGGGGAGGCAACCAGCTCTGGATGAACCCCTGCCCCCTCCTAGATCTCTGAGGATGAGAGTAAAGAGGCCTCAGAGGAAGCATCATCAGCAGGGCTGCCCCTGCACCCTCCACTAGCTCAGTCACTGGCACCTCGGGGAGACCCGTAGACACAGTGTGAGGGTACACTAGCTGGTGATCACCTCACAGTGACAGCCCTTCTGCTGGCCAAGGGAGAAATGGTCCAGGCCACTGGCCCTTGGAGGGGAGCCAGAGACTAGGCACTTCCTCAGGTCCAGGCAGGAGGGACCTAGTGCTGTCAGCTATCCTCATGCACATGGAGGGTCAGGGGAAGCAGGCAGCTATGTGGGAGGCAATGGCTCTCATTGCCCAGAAACTGCAGCAGTGCAGCAAGATTGGCAGTTACCATGGATACCAGGTCCAGCACCCTCAGGGACTGTACGCACATACACACACACACACACACCCCATTGCCCTGCCTGTGGTCCTCAGGAGCATGGGGGGGCCGCTGCTAGAGCCCAGTGCTTGTGCCACCCCTCCTCCCAAAAAGACAGGGCAGGGCCGGGAGGCACCCAGTTGAAGGTTGACCCACACTCAGACCCCGCAGCAGTTTCCACTCAGGACACTACTTCCAGACTACCTTCCCTCTTTCTGATCCGTGGAAGTTCAAGGAGAGCCAGCTTGCCTCTAGCAAGAAGACTCTTGGTGTATGTGGGACATCTGGATACACGTACCCACTAGGATCACCTTTCGAGTCTCCAGGGCCAGTGGATTCTGCATCAGAGCAGACTCCCTCAACCAGGAAGTGAACTGAGGTGTAGTGGGAGAGCGAGAAAATAGCAAGCTCATTGAGAGCACAACGGTGGTACAAATGAAGGAAGCTTCTGTGTAAATAGAGCAGTATATATGACATTAGTTTTCATTGATCTGCTTTTGGGTCTGTCTCTGTAGGCACTGAATCTCCCTAATGCTTGTCTCCATCTATGTGTGAACATAAGCTGTCAGAGATTTGTTCAGCAGTGGCTGTGCCAGGGGGGCTTAGTGCTGTAGCATGGAGTAAACAACCTGCATGCCTGTTAATCTAATTTCCTAATCTATCTCACACCAACACTTTGACTTTGTTTAATTCTGACTGATTTGACTTTGTTAAATTTTCGGAACCTAGTTTCATACTAAGCCACAACATTCTCAAACTCAACATGAAATTCTTCAAATTGTACTCAATCCTCACACAGATACTTAACTATGATGTTATTAATTAACTCTGTTTACTAGATCTAAAATAACCTGTTCCTAATAGGTTGTCAGTATGTTCTTATAGAAAAACTACTCTGATTACATGCTGACTCATGTTCTGCTCAACACTACCACGACTACCATAACTAATGGGGGCCCATAAAGGAATATTTTCTGGCCTTTGTCACTTCTTAGCTTCACCTATAATGATTCTATTTCCAGATTTTCAGGTCAAGTTCCTTTCCCACTGCTGTCTCTATTTCATCCTTATGATTCAGGCTCTCCTCAAGGGCAGCTAGATAAAAACTATTTATCTCCATTTGAGCCATTCATTTATCTAGCTTGTTAGTCATGTCTTGTACATTCAGAGAGCGCCTATAACTTTGTCTTTCTAATAATTTTCCCTGATTGGACATTAATCATTAATAATTGCCCTTTATTTTTGCCAAAATCTCTTCTTTGAGCATTCTGGTGGTGCAGTGGTAGGATTGGACACAACAGTGTGGAGCTGGAGGAACACAGCAGGCCAGGTAGCATCACAGGAGCAGGAAAGTTGACGTTTCAGATCTTCAGAAGAGTCGCGAAAAGTGGGGGGTTGGTGGTGTTGGCGGTGGTGGTGGGGTGGCTGCGGTGGGGGTGGTGAAGGAGTTTCTGAAGAAGGGCCCCGACCTGAAACGTCTACTTTCCTGCTCCTCTGATGCTGCCTGGCCTGCTGTGTTCCTCCAGCTCCACACTGTTGTCTCTGATTCCAGCATCTGCTGTTCTTGCTATCTTCGTGCAGTGGTAGTATCCCTACCTTTGAGCCAGCAGAACTGGGTTAAAGTCCCACCTGTTCCAAAGCTGTGCAATAACATCTCTGAGTAGGTTGATTGGGAAAATAGGTAAAATCTCTTCCTTTTCCTTTCACAGCAGACTAGATTTGATCCAAGTTAATACTCTGCTCTTCAACTTTGACGTTTGTCTTTAGATTTGTGAAAGTGTCCTTACCTCAATCGTCCCCACCATGTGCCCTTTCTTTTAAAGCTCTGAACATCACACCCAACAATTGGATTTGGACAGTTAATGTTGGAGCCAATCCAACAAAATATCTCCTTCTTTTACCTGAAGAGATCCCATTAACTCCAGGATTTTTCTTTTCCTTATGCTTTCATGCAACGTGTGCGTTGCTGCCAAGAGCGGCTCTTGCTGCTTGTCCCTAATTGTTCTTTAACTGAGTGGTTCATCGGCCATGCCAGAGGGGTATTAGGAGGGCCCACGTTGCTGTAGCTCTGGAGTCAGGAGTAGACCAGCAGATTTCCTCATTGGATTCTGGTAATTGGTGACAGCTGTCATTGTCACTATTATGGAGATGCTTTTTATTCCAGATTTATGAATTGAATTTAAAGTCTGCTAACGCATACAATGTGAACCCATGTTGCAGGGGTTTAATTCAGGTCTGTGGATTTCCAGTCCAGTGATATTACACTTCCACCATTCCCTCCCATATCACTCTTACAGTCATGCATTTAACCCTCTACTCTTTGTTTTTGTTTGTGACTTGAATATCATGCAAAGGTTGTTACTTTTAAGGTTTTGTTTTTAAATTTGGATCCTAGCTCCTTATGTTACCTCAATAGAGGCTATTGTTTAATTCTGTCAATGTCATTGATTCTTACATGGGTGATAACTGCATTTCCCCCCCTCATTGACCAAGTTCCTCTCCAGTCACCATTCTCTAAGCCTGACGATGCCAGGTAAGATGTACCTCTGAAACACTGACAGAAGATTATCTGACAGATCTATCATCCCAGCAGCGCTCAAGTGTTAAAGAGGACTATAAACAATCCCCAAAGAAGAGGATGTTCTAGACTAAAGGCAAATACAGGCTGTAACTGGGCCTGGATGACAGGTGATGATGATGGTGACTCTCAAAGGAGGTATGCCCACCCTTTGCCTGATACCAGCTTTTGTAGCTAAACAAGTGGGATGACCAGTTAAGAGCATCAGTAGGCCCAAATAAAGATGGGCCATCCAATACCTCAGCATTGCTCATCAAATAAGAGACAGGTCAGGCACAGGGCTAGATTGCTGCATAGTAAAGGCTGCCCTTACCTTCATACCTCATGGTAAGGGAATATCTGTCCTTCCTTCCAAATTTGCACTTTACTGATGGGTGTCGAATGTTCTCACGTTAATCTTATTGTAATTCCCTGAGCTTCAATCGGGAATATTGAACATTGAGAAAACATGCAAGTAACATTTGCTTCTGTACTCTTGACTCTTTTAGTGCTTTTGGATTTGGGGAATCAGATGTAGTTGAACCTGCTCAATGGAGCAATAACTTTTTTTAATATAAATGATACAAACTGTTTTAAAAATAATAATAAACATTCCTTGGGGTTGATCTTAATCCCAGATCGCCTTTAGGTGAGTGTTGAGAGGACTTGTAAACTCCGTCTTTCATGGAAATGTAGGACCTAGGGTATTTCACAACCCAAACCTTATTATTGAGCAAAATGTCTACTTCTTGCCTATGAGTGCACAGATCGATTCTGGGAGGGTCTGTCAGGTTGGAATGTAAAATTACTGGTGCAAGGGAATTTAGAATGTTTTCACTAGATGTCCTACATGGGAACTCTTACACAAAGGTAAACAATAGTCTTCTCTCTGATTCTCTTAAGAGCTGCTTCATCCTGTGGGAAAATCTGCAGCAGTTTCCCTGCTCAGGACAGAGTTAACATCACAGTCAGGGCTTGTGGATATCACCAAACCCCAGGCTGTGGATGTTATTGAGGACCTCACACACACATTGGGTGAGCAGCTTCACCCTGTTTCCAAAAAGTGGCTCGGTCTAAACTCAGCCCCACTGAGTTCTAATGTAAGCTAATATCAAAGTACAGATGGCCAGTTGTCATCACTGATTAACATTTCAATTTGGTAAACATGGAGCAGCTTGCGCAAAAAGTGGCAAAGTCTGTTCTATAAACACTGGCATGGGAAATTTGAGGGAGGAAAATAATAGCAAAAATGTTGCAGAAATTCAGCGACCGTTTAGGAGTGAGATGAAAGGAAATTTCTTCACCTAGAGAGTTGTGAGTGTGGAATACGCTGCCACAGAAGGCATTTGAGATCAAAACATTGAATGTTTTCAAGAAGGAGTAAGATAGAGTTTTTAGGGATAAAGGGATCAAAGGGTATGGGGAGAAAACAGGAACCGGTACTGAGTTGGACAATCAACCAAGATATATTGAATGGCAGAGCAGATTTGAAGGGCTGAACGGACTACTCCTGTTCCTATTTTCTTTGTTCCTATAAATAACCTTTAATAAGAATGCAACATAGACGTCACCTGAGAAACCGATTATCCAAATTACTACAAACAATATTAAATATTGCAGTGCCAAAATATGAGACAGAAATATTCTCACCATCTGAGTGAGCTAAGAACATAGAAGATTAGGTGGACAGATTTGCTAATAAAACATTTTATTAAACCTAGACTTTATCTTCTCGAGCCTGGTAATTGAACATCAGCACATTAAATTTACCTAGTAATCCTGATTGTCCCTTGTGTGTTTACTTACTTATTTTTGTGAGTATATATAAACTTAGACCTAAATGAGTTCAGCACCTGTTTTGAAATATCAGAATAATAGTCAAGCTTTTTGATGGTGGGAGCCTCCTGTGTTCAACGTCATTCTGCTTCTTTCAGGTTTTCCCATGTAACAGGATCTGCGATAATGCTGGTTGTTATCAACTACATTCTATCAATTGTAGCAGAACAAGAATGGATTTGATAACAGGATGATGCTGTACATTGTGATGGAGCAGGACATCAGCAGAGCTAAGAAAGGACAGAACAGTCTGTACTAGTGAAATGTGCTTGCAGAGACCACTAATACATACAAATGTGTAAATAAAAGAGTCTGCAGAGACTAACCAGAGTCACTTTAGAATTACTCATAGGGAGAGGGAACCATTTAGATCATGACTGTCTTCAAATACCTTTTCAAAATAAGCGAGGGAGAAAAATTTTAAAATTGCTGACTTTCTTTAACAATATGAGAGATTTTTTTATTGCTATGATTGCTTCCTGATTGTTGTGGCTATGAAACTGGTTGCTCCAGCCTTTATTGCTAAACTATTAATTTAAATGAAAAGCTGCATTCACAACAGCTCCTCCAACAGCACCTTCCAAACCCACAACCTCTAGCATCTAGAAAGATAAGGATGCATGGGAACACCACCAATAATTTCTTGGAGCTACATTCTGTTTGCTCACTATTGTTGTCAAAATCCTGGAATACCTTTCCTAAGAGCACAGAGGGTGTACCTACAACACATGGACTGCCTCAGTTCAGGAAGGTGGCTCACCACCATCACCTTCTCATTGGTCATTCAGGATGGGCTGTAATCTTTGCCTTAGCTAATGATTCCCAGATCCCATGAAGACGTTTTAAAAATCCAAGATCATTCATACGCCTTGTGTGGAAGTTCAAATTTACTCTGAGTTTGCACCAATTATAATAAAAGAAATTAAGATATCAAATTTATAAGACACTTGTTAGACCACAGCTGGATTACTGTGTACAGTTCTGGGCATCACATTATTAAGAAGCAGATGAATACACTGCAGGAAGCGCAGACGCAGCTTTCCAGAATGGTTCCAATGAAGACAAATCTCAATTATGAACTGGATTGAAAATGTTGTGGCTGTTCTCTTTGGAATGAAGAAAGCTATGAGGAGATTTGATAGAAATCTTCAAAATCATGAGCAGCCTGTGCAAAGCAGTTGGAAAGAAACTGTTCCCACTTGTAAAAAGGATCAAAATCAAGAGGACATAGATTTAAACTGATCTGCTAAAGAAGCAAAGGTGAAGTGAAGAAAAGCTTTTTCACTCTGCAAGTAGAGATAACAAGGTGTAGAGCTGGATGAACACTCTGCAAGTAGTTAGGGCCTGGAAGTGTGGTTGAGATACATTCAATTGAGACATTCATGAGGACATTGGATGATTATTTGGATAAAAATAATATGCAAGAGAATGGGGGGAAAATAAATTGTTGCTAAAGAGCAACACTTGAATATTGTTCTCCTGGTTTATATTTTAAAACATTCCATCATTCAAACAGAGCTCCTCCTCCCTGACCTATCTACTTCCACCTTCCAGTTAAAATAATCACTTTCTATCTATCAAACAGTCATGAAACCTGACATTACTCCTTGTAATGATAATCAAAGGGAGCCGTGCTCCACAGGATCCCATAATGGTCCCTTCTCTTCTCCTCTGAATCAGAAGCAGATGAGTCCATTCATAACAAAAACAAAGTTGCTGGAAAAGCCCAGCAGGTCTGGCAGCATCTGCGAAGGAGAAAACAGAGTTAACGTTTCGGGTCCGGTGACCCTTCCTCAGAACTGATGGTGGTAGGAAAACGTCAGTTTATATGCAGAACATAGGGAGGTAGTTGGGGTAGGGAGTAAATGATAGGATAGAGCCCAAAGAGAGAGAAAGACAGTTGGACAGACAAAGGAGTTGCTAACGATCAGGCTGGGAGGGTGAATAGTTGTTAATGGGGGCTGTTAGTGACTAACAACAGCGGGTGTGTAGTGGCAGGCTGTGGAGTCCATTCATAAAGCAGGCTGCAACCCACAGGTTGTCTCATCTCTATAGTGAATCACACCATCAATGAGAACTATCCCTGGGTCAAGTGTTGCTAAGATTGCCATCTTTGGTATATACTGGAGTGGGGAGGGAATCATGGCTGAGCTTTCAGATCAAAATGGCTGCCTCCTCCTCCTCCTCTCTAGTAAGCACATATTCAAAATATATTCCCATTTCTCTTTATTCATTCATTCACAGGATGTGGGCATCACTGGCTGTGCCAATATTTATTGTCCAAACAGATTTGCTCTTGAGAAGGTGGTGGTCTCCTCACTGTTAATGAAAGCAGTGTCAAACCACAAGAAGCTCAGAAAAATAAGAATTGCACAAAGTTTTACTCAGTTTCCTTGTGGCCCTGGAGAAGAAGAGCTAACGGGCCTGTACTGCTTTCACACTTTACAAACATGTATGGCTGCAACTATCTCACATCCCCACGGCCGGGCTGCTTTACTCTACTGAGAGCTGTTTTTTGGCTTCCACCAGTTGGCCACAACATCACTCACACCAATTTCAGCCAGAGCTAAACTACAGAAAACAGACCCAGGTCTTAAAATGGCCCTGCCATCACACTGAAAAGTTTATCCAGGAATTCTCTCTCACTTCCAATCATACACCTCTCATTACAAGCTGGGCTCCGTTTTCTAAATCAGTCTCCAGATGGAGAGATATTGGATGTTCCTCATTTCAGGTCAAGTTCCAAAACTCAGATTGTCAGGTCTGGTTGGAGGCATTGCCAAAGACTTGATCACGTGACAGTCTGATCACATGTCACCTGACCATTGGATAAATCCCAGCTGATCACATGACGCATGATACCAGGACTTCTTTCATGTTTCTAAGGCAATGCAGTGAGTCCCTGTTAGGAGATAAAGGCTCCCTCAAGACGGCATCATTCACGAGACCAATATCAGGAGAGTAGTGCCATACTCCTGAATACGATGTAGCAGAGCATTAATGATGTATTAAAGGCGGGAAAAGTGAATGGCATGGGGCTTTCAACTACATCTTCATGTAGAATCTCAAGTCACCTGACAGTGCCTTTCAAATCCTTCACAGTTAGAGAGAGTCATCAAACAAATATACCTTGCAGGTCATCCCATCCCACACTGTCTGGGCATTTATTCACAATCCCATCCGACCACCATCATTGAAACTCAGCATCAACATATTACACATACCTCTCTCTCTAAGTGAGCCACCACAAATGTTATCTGTTCATCCTTTCAGTCCATTCATTTCTTTTGCTCATAAAATCCCTGTTTCCACTCTTGCAGGAGAAGAAATCAGAGGCCACAAAGGAGAGACAGGGAACCAGAGCTGATCTTGCCACCATCTCCACATTCACAGAGAGAGAGACATGGAAGAGAAGCCAAAACACTTTGTGCCTGGTCATTGGACGTGGAGAGTTGGAGATCTCTCACTGACTTGGTGATAAAATGAAATATCAAACAGCCATGCAGATGAAAACATTTACTCTGGTTAAATTGATGGTAGCAGCGATTGAAGTAGGATAACATCATCAAGACATTGTAGCATGGAAAGAGGTCATTTGGCCCATCAGGTCCATGCCAGGTTTCTGGACAGGAATCCAATCAGTCCTTTCCCCTGTTCAATCCCTACTGTTGTGCAATTTCAAGTGTCCTTCCAATTTCCTTTCAAAATCGATCAGGATTTGTTTCCTTCCACCATCTTCATAGGCAACCGGTTACAGGTGGCTACCGCTACCTGTGTAAAATTGTTCTCCCGCTGCACTCCATCTCTTGCCCAAAATGACTGTGCCCCACCCCTACCCCCGCCAGTCCTCATTGTATCATCACATGGGAACAGCTTATCTTTGACTACCTTATCAAAACCTGCCACCTGCTTATACACCTCTATCAAATAGCTCCTCAATCTCCTTTGAGCCAAGAAAAATAACCCCAACTTCTCCAACCTCGATTTACCTGAATTACTCCAACAAAAATTGATTTTATAAATTATGAGGACAACATTGTTGTATGGACTCCAAAAGATCATGACAAAGGCTGCTTGCTGCATGATGGGAAAAGCTGGGGGGAATGTTCTGGAAGGGTCCACTCCCTTCATGCACGGGACATTGGGAGGTGTCAGTACTCGGTGGGTGGGTGGTGCGATTCCAGGCCAGTTGCAGGGATTAAGCAGCTTAGAGTTTCCAAACCCAGGTGTTGGAGATGCTGAGGTCAGTTTATCATTGGAGAGCTATTGAAGCATCTCACGTCAATGGATTCCAATGAAGGGTCTGAGGAATATGGTAAAAATGTGAAATGGAGTTTCATCAACAGGTTGTGCTTGTTGTGTGTTTCTGTGTGAGTGAACAGGTCTGTGTGGGTAATTGGAGCCAAGGAACCTATAATGTAATACACGCCCATGTTCCAGCATCTTGCTCCCTGGAGACAAACTGGGCTGGTTTTTGATTGAACAATCTCAGCTGCTCGTTTCACAGTCAGAGAAGAAAGCACGTCGAGCACTGTTCTCTATCAACTCACCGGTGAACGTTTTGGTGAAGCACAAATTTGCATTTTGATCAACATAATGAGGTAAAGGTCATCAAAATTCCATTTGTTTTAGACAGTTAGATACGTACGTTACTGAAAAAGAAGCTCATTTTCAGAATTGCATTGGTATAAATGTCAAAGAGATGAAACACTTAAAGCGGGATTATTTGTTACATTGAGGCAAACAGGTAAATGTTCACTGCTGCACTGTGACTGGTGACTATAGGAAGAAATAAGAGGCAAAAGACAATTTCTAGTATTGTATCAGGCAATCTTCAAAGTAAAATCAACTTTAATTTCCACTCACAAAATACAGAAAATTTAAGTTAACCTTCAACTCCACACTATTACAATGTTGAATCGAATATTCTGTAACTGTCCTCAAGCAGATATGATGAAACAAGACTATCTGGAGTTATGAACTAATGTAAAACTGTGAACCGTGGCGCATCCTGATGAATGGACTTAACTTCATTCAGAACTGTAATTCCCAAAGTAACAGAAAGCACACTACATTGCAGAATGCAACTGGCAATCTTTGAGTGGTCACTGAGTAGGTCAGTAGATAGTGGGATTGATGGCCTATTGCCATCACTAAGCTGCTGCTTAATCCTGGTATCTGCTCCAGTCACTGTTCAATCTCTGTGTCTCCCATTCTCTCCTCATTAGCAGGTGTTCTGAATAGTTGTAAATATTATTCATTTGTGAAACAAACATGCTTTCAAAATACAGTTTGTTATTTCTAATTTTGTTATGTTTTTATTGGTGTTTGAGGTTAATAACAATTAGATTAAAAAATAGACCTTTATATAACATGTTTCACAATCTCAGGGCATCCCAAAGTGTTTTGCATTCAGCAAAATGGTTTTAAAGTATACTCGCTGTTGTATTTTAATAAGCACTTATGAATCACTTATGGGTGGCAGGTGGCTCAGCAATTAGCACTGTTATCTCACAGCACCAGGGACCTGGGTTCGATTTCAGCCTCAGATGACAGTCTGTGTGGAATTTGTACATTCTCCCCATGTCTGCTTGTGTTCGCTCTGGGTGCTCTGGTTTCCTCCCGTTGTCCAAAGACGTGAAGGTTGAATGGATTGGCCATGCTAAATTGCCCATAGTGTCCAGGGATGTGCAGACTTAAGTGGATTAGCCATGGGAAATGCAGGGATACAAGGATAGGGTGGATCTGGGAGTGATGCCCTGGGTGGTGAAGACTCGATGGACCAAATAGCCTGCTTCCACACTGTAGGGGTTCTATGAAGCACAGCATAGTTTGCACATGCCAAGTTGCACAATGTGGTAATCTGTTTTGATGATGTCTGCGAAGGGCTTAATATATCAGCCAGGACAATGAGAAGATCTCCCTTGTTCTTCTTCCAATAGCACCATAGGAAACCTCACACTTACCTAAGAGGCCAGAGTGAGCCTTATTTAAAGATCTCACCCAAATGGTGATATTCCAACCATGGGACACCTCCCTCAACATCAGTTGTGCCAACCTCAGTCACAAGTCCAGGTCTGTGGAGTGGGAACTGAGCCCATAATCTGCCGACTCAGACTTACAAACATAAGAGGCATGACAATGGCTAAGACCAGCTGAGAAAAGTTTAGAAATATTGCTCTGAAGAGTCAGGGTGAGCACAAATAAAGAGTGTTTTGCCCAAATTATAATAAGCTGGAGGTCACCACAGAAAACAAAAAGTCTTCATATGGGTGCACAGTCAGCTGGGACACTGAAAAACATAACATCTGACTTTGTTTTCTGGGCCTCTGGGATGTTTGGTCGAAGGATCGCATTGCAGGCACTCTGAGATGATGTTGCAGAAATTACTACTCTACTTCACAGTTTCAATAAGGAACCCACAGAATTTCATACTCCAACTTAACGCTGCAAAGGAGAAGAAAACTCATTTAAACTTGGGAAAAGCCAAGTGTAGTAGTTTGAAGTGAAAGGCAAAGGTTGGAAATTCACCAGGAACTGGTTGAGGAGTAAAAACGACAGGGAGTGGGGGGTTGGCGACAGGAGATGAATGCCCACATGGACGTGAGGCAGGTGGAGCAGAGAATGGGCTGGGCTGGATGAAGGATGTCTACATGGATTGAGCAGCAAGAAAGCATGAAAAAATTTACACTGAGCTAACGTCTCATTTCGTCTTGTAGGAATGTCCCTTTGCCATTCACACCAGATAATTTATTTTGAAATACATGCACGATAATTTGAGAGGAAATATGACAACTCAGTTATGTGACAATAACTTGCATTTACATAGCACCTTTCAGTACGATGTGGCCATCTGTATGTTAGTTCATGTAATACGCACCGCAGAGAGTTTTACACTTTTTGAAATAGATATATTGGAGTTTATTAACAAATAACAAAGTGCATAAAATGATACTGTAGACTTGCATACAAAGTCTGGGTTATACGGTCGCTTAGATTGCTGCTATGTTCCACACATAGTTGACTTGCTGATTCTCAGAATGACCAGCTTTCTTGCTCCTCTGATGCTGCCTGGCCTGCTGTGTTCCGCCAGCTCCACACTGTGTTATCTCTGACTCCAGCATCGGCAGTTCTTATTATCTCTCAGCAGAATGGCTGGTTGTTTGCTAACAAATTAACTGTATGACTGGACAGAGAATAAAACGCAAACCTTTGTTTTACCAAGCTGCCTTAAAGGTATACCGTCTTTTGTAACTTAGTGTAGTACAGTGTCACAAGAACGTGGTCAGACAAAAACTGAGGCAAGAATTGCTACAAAGAAAATGTAGGAAATATTTAAAGGGTGAAAACAACTTTAGTAGAATGGATAGTTTTTAAGGAGAGGTTGTCTGGAATTCTGAGATTTTGGAACTTTCAGGACTGAACCCAATAGTGATCAAAACAGTAGGTGCTGGAAAAGCTCAGCAGGTCTGGCAGCATCTGTGAAGAAAAAGTCAGAGTTAACGTTTCGGATCCAGTGACCCTTCCTCAGAATTGGTTCCTCAGAACCATAGTGGATGAGATGGAGATGGACACGAGGCTAGAGTTTGGTGAATGCAGGGATCTCAGAGAATTCTAGGGCTGAAGGAGATCACAGAGGCAGGAAAGTGAGATCATGAAGGGACTTGAAGACCAGGATGATGTTTTTCCAACTGTGATGTTTGTGGACTGGAGCCATTGGAGTTCAGAGAGCCTAACATAATGGATGAGAGGAACTTAGTGCTTGTCATAGAACTTTGGGAAGTGTAACAGAACGGAAACTGGCCAGGAAATCTTTGGGGTAATCGAGTCTGGTGTGTGAGGAGTCCAGATGAACATGGCCTGATGTACTGGGAGATCAGGTGATGTTACAGGGATAGGTGTAAATGGTCTTTGTGATGGAGAGGGTCTGTGCTATTCAGTACACAAAGATATTCAAAGATAGTAGCATGATGAATGGCCACCAGCTGTGGGAGAGATGATGGACACGTTATGTCAGGTTGTCCCCAAAGAAGAGGGAGCCTTGAGCCAGGACTGGGAGATGCTTTGAGAAGCTGGGGGTTGGGGACGAAACATAAGAGTGTAAGAAATAGGAGCATGAGTAGGCCAATCAGGTCCAGAAACTATCTGCCATTCTATAAGATCATAGCTTAATTGCCCCAGGCCTAAAATCCTCTTTACTGGAAACTCCTCATGGCCCTTAATTCCTCAATATTTCAAAACTCTATCTACCACCTCTTTAAATCCTTTCAATGATGCAGCCTCCACAACTCCCTTGGATAAAAAATTCCAGACATTCGCAACTCTCTGAATGGAAACATCTTCACAACATCTGCCCTATCAAGCCCACTCACAATCACATATATGTCAATAAGATTATCCATCATCCTTCTAAACTCTGATGAGAAAGGCTGAACCTGTTCAGCTGTTTTAGACAAGTCAACCCTTCATCTCAGGAGTCAGCTGAGTGAATCTCTTTTGAACTGCCTCCAATACAGTATATTCTTATTAAATGTAGGGACTAAAACCTTACTCCAGGTGTAGCCTCACCAGCATTCTATTGTGATAAGACTGCCCTGTTTTTAAATCCTACCCTCTAGCAGTGAAAGCCAAAACTGAATTTGCCTTCTTAATTGCTTGGTGCACCTGCATGGTAACTTTTGGTGTCTCATGCACAAGAACACCCAGGTCTCTCTCTGTGCTTCAATTTTTGGAGTCCGTCCCCATTTAAATATTAGTATGCTTTTTCATTCTTCCTACCAAAATGCTCACACTTCCCTACATTAGAGTCATCTATCAAGCTCTTGTCCACTCACTCAATCTACCTATGTCCCATTGCAGATTCCTCATATCCTCATCACACGATGCCCTCCCAGCTAATTCTTTTACTGTCAGCAAATTTGGATGCATTACGCTCTGCCCCCTGCTCCAAGTTATTAATATTGATGATAAATAATGGAGAGAAAAGGGAAGTCGGAACTTGGAAAAGATGCCTCCAATGAATCCGATAGATGAGCGAAAGAGATTCCCAGCCACAGGCCCTTGGCTGACACTAGCTAATGCTGCTAAACCTGCTGCACATTGTGGTGAAGCCTTTCCCCCACTGAGATGGCTGGAGGCTGTGGAGAGAGATCAAGTAGGCAGTGTGAATGCCACATGCTATATTTTATGAGCACATGTACCTCCACAAAACACCCAGACACACACAATCCAGTAAGGGTGGAGAATGAATATCAATCCAACAGTGCTTTAAAATGTTGAGGCTATTTTATGATGCACAATTCTTTTTGTGTTTTAAAGATATGTTTGTATTCCAAATGTTGGGTTGGAGAACAAACAGGCCAATATAAAATCTGAGATGGAGTTGCTGGAACTGATAACATAAGGAGCGAGCTGTCTCAGAAATAGCATTCAGGATTTAGCAATGAGACACCAATTAATGAGAAGAACACATATTGGAAAAGACCATCAGGCAGATGCAGTACTTGAACCAATGCTCCTGTTCCTGAGATGTTGCTGTGCATTTGATGAGAAAACAACAGAAGGTCAGCCATCAGAAAGGACACAGATGCAAAACCAGCCAAGGGTATCCTTCTCATTTTCTGGGCTGTATGAGCTGTGCTTTCATGGTCAGTGAATTTGCAGAGGGTAGGTATAGATAAAGGCTGGATGGAGGGGAAGTGCATAAGTTGGTATGAGATGACTTGTGATGAATTTTGTTCTCCTGCAGTGCCACACAGAAGGAGTCGTTGAAAGTGAATCTTGATCAGCTTCAATGTCACTTCACGTGGAATCCAAAGAAAAAAAACATTGACTTGGATGATCTGAAACAAAGATTAGAAGATTCAATACAGACAAGCGTGAAACCTCAAGCCAGATCGTACAACCAACTTGCTTTTATAAACTGTCTGCAAGGAAACTGTGAAG